GAAAGAGTCTGGAAAAGCTTTTATAAAAGAGTCAGGCTCAGAGCATCATTAGTGTTATAACCGAGGTGATGCGTGTTCCGAAGGGGGCGGGGAGGGGAGTGTGTGCAGACGCCGTCTGCAGGGTGTGCAGGTGATGGATGGGTTTAGGCTGAGGAGCAGCACAGGAAGCTGGGGAGGTTTAGACTGCAGAGAAGGAGGCAGAGGGGAGACCTTATTGCCCTCTACAGCTGCCTGAAAGGAGGTTGTATCGAGGTAGGGGTCGGTTTCTTCTCCCAAGTAACAAGTGATAGGACAAGAGTAAACGACCTCAAGTTGTGCCAAGGATGGGTCTAGATTGGATATTAGGAAAAATTCATCACCAAAAGCGTTTTCACGCACTGGAATGGACTGCCCAGGAAAGTGATTGAGTGTCACTACCCCTAGAGATATTTGAAAGACAGATAGATGTGGTGCTCAGGGACATGGTTTAGTGATAGAGTTGGCAGTGTTAGGTTTACGGTTGATCTTAAGGGCCTTTTCAAACCTAAATGATTCTGTGACTCCCAAGGCAGTTGTCCAGCACAGGTTAGTCTCCTGAGCACACTCTAACTGGAGTTGTTGTTTCAAAGGAGACGATGGTGGTGGTCTCTCTTTCTCTCAGTAATCATAAATGTTTTCCTGTGTTTGATGAAGTGCATTGTTTGCTCCATATGATTGAACTCCTTTATCCTGTGGGGCTCATCTTTTTTCATGCATGTGTGTGTGATAACGACAGAACCAAAAGTACATTCAGTAGCAGTCTACTTATGGCCCTGAGGAGAAAGGGGTTTCTTAACTCCATAGCCTGGTGGTAAAAGTCATTCCTTCTGACGGCCCATCACATCCACACTTTTCTCACCACCTTTTTAGTTGCAGAATTGCACTTAACATTCTTGCATTTTTTAGGGTAGATAAAAAGTGGTTTCATCTTCTCATTGAAAGCTGTTCTGTGTTAGAGCTGGTTTGCCATTGGCCTTTGTGCCATGGTTGCAGCACATGCAACTAACGAATCCCTTAATTGCATTAGTAAAAGCACTGAAACTTCTTGTTGAGACTTACTTTGATCCTGGTTAAGTTTAATGTTTTTTAAAGTG